CGAGGACGGAGGTGCTTCCCGGCTACGGCGAAGCCCAGATCGGCGGCGACTCGCCAACGGCGAGGTAGGTAAGCGTCGGTAAGGTCTCGTGTACTCCTCGGTTGTTTTCTCGGATGTCTTTGGTTTCGGATGAGTCTCCGATTTGTGGAGCTCCGTCCGTTCTTGGTTTTTTCCGGTGTTTCTTTCGTCTCTAGTGGATTCGCCGGCACCGTCCGGCCGAGATGTAGGCCCGAGCTTGCTCGGTAACCGAACTCGTTAAAACTCCGGTGTCGTTTCGATTCGAGCACGTACGAGTGTCGGAGTGGCCGTGAGGATTCTGATACCGACTTCACACAACACCTAACCATAAATATATATTCTAATATAACCATAAATATATATTCTAATATAAACGTGTTTTTCAAGGAAAATGCTATTAAACTTTGAAAAAATTTGTGACCGCAAGAGCCCAAGAGAGTTAGTCTTAAATTTAGCTACTACCATTATTATCGACAGCGATTAGTGGCGAATCCAGAGTCACTTGTAGTTAGGAACACAACAAAATTATAAAACATGAAAAATATAAAAAAATAAATAAATAAATTATACAGTATTTTTTTACAAATATTTTGTTATGATTAGTTAATAGCCTGCTTCTACCATTAAAAATTATATTTTTTACAAATATTTTATCGCAAACTTTATTGACGGATTTTTCGTTGCAAACTCTCCATTGCGATCCGTCGCAAATATTTTGCGATGGAAGTTTTCGCCGCAATGAGTTGCAAATTCAGACGGACTTCGCCATAACTTGCAACGGGTCGCAAACTTTTGTAGCTTTTTATAGTGACCATTTCATATAATCCTTAAATTTCGCTAATAAGGACACTTCAATTGGATCAATTTAATTCAGTTTTTGAACTATATAAAAGTCTATATTTATATTACTTTGTTTTTTGTCAACCGTATATTACTTAGAAATAATAACGTTGAATATCTTAACTGATTAGCCATATTTGTTTATCCGATGACAACATATTTCAATAATATATATATATATATATATATATATGTGTGTGTATATATATATATGTATGTATTAGAATTGCAAAAAACACTTTTTGTTGCCATATATATATGTAATATGTATACATATCACGTGAATGTGCATACAACAATTTTTGTAGATTACATTGACAAAAATAAATTTCTTTCTAGAAAATTTGTTAATTAATATGTTCTTCAAATTACGGATTCAGTAACATGATCAATATTTTAGTTTTAACCGACCGAAAAAATACAATAATATCTCAAATTACATTGAGGAGTTATTAGAGATATACACAAATATATGTGTACATCTCCCGCATACAAAGGAGTCCATTAATTAGTAGATTTTTCATGCAAAATTATTTTTTTAGTTTTCCAAATCAACCGCAATTGATATTTCTCATTACAAAATGTAATAACAAGATTCCAAATTCATTTAATGATATAAACAAGCATATCTAATACACACTGCATGAACATATATATATGCTTTTATATCCGATACATATACACACATTGTTTTTTTAAAATACTTAAAATTTAATTTTGCAAGCAGCTTCTTGATCTTGGCGTCCAAGGATTACATGTAGCAGAAGAAGACTTCAACAATAACAATTTCTTTTTGCTCTTCTTCTTTTTCGATTCTCTCATAACATCTTTATTAGATGAAACGACGTCATACGCCTCCATTGCAGATTGGAAATCGAGTTGTGGATGAAATCCTAAATTATACAATTAAAAAAAGTGTGTATTATAATGCCATTTATACATAGGGTATATATATGGAGACCGTTTTGAAAAAATTCTTAATAATATAAAAAATAAAATTGCAATAGAAGTTAAAGTTTAAAAAAAAAGATCATCTATATAGAAGAGTGAACTCGGGAGCATTCAAAAGTATGGAAATAAATATATGAGCAACATATATTTTCTAGAAATAAATGGCAGAAAAAAAATTGGATGAAAATGGTAAAAGTTTAATATAGATTGTCAATCTATATTTATTTATCATTCTTTAATAATTTCGGCGAATTTTCTAACAAATTAATTATATATTTTTTTCTTGTTTGTTTCCATGATTGATCAAACCATTAAAAAAAATTAGGAAAAAAAAAACTTGCCTTGAAATGACCACGTTGAGTTTTGAGCAGAAACACCATTGCTCGTCATCTTGAATTCATTTATCTGCTCCACGGTTCCAATCCAAAATTAATTAGGGTTTTCTTCTTCTTCTCACGAGTAATCGAGTACGGTAAATCTTACCCAACTAGGTGCACTACTGGACGAACTGTCCCAACCAATATGCGCCACGTGTCTCACATTCGTCGGGTTCCCGATTTCCATCTCTTTCTCCTTCATAACTACACATTTCACGACGTTAAAATACCTAGAACATTACGATATGCATACGCATCGATCGGCTCGGACCACAATGGGCGCATTTATTCAACAGAAAACTTATAAATATATGCAAAAATTTAAATTAAGGTCGAAGGGATGTGAGGATAAAGAGCTGAAAATACCGAAATAATCGGAGAAACACTTGAAGCTCTTGTGATAGAGCCCTTTGATTCGGGTGGTCATTTTCTCAAGAAAATAAAAAATAATTAAATCTATATGTACAGATTGAAGATGTGAGATCGATATATATATATATGTATGTACAGATATATAAAAGGAGCAAATATGGATAATAATGCAGATTCAAGAAAAGACAAGAAACCTAAAAAAGAACTCTTCTATTTACAAAACGGATTGTTATGGAAGAAGAAGAAGAAGAAGAAGAAGAAGAAGAAGAAGAAGAAGAAGAAGAAGAAGAAGAAGAAGAAGAAGAAGAAGAAGAAGAAGAAGAAGAAGAAGAAGAAGAAGAAGAAGAAGAAGAAGAAGAAGAAGAAGAAGAAGAAGAAGAAGAAGAAGAAGAAGAAGAAGAAGAAGAAGAAGAGCAAAGGAAAGAGACAAAAATGCCTTTTCCTCCGAATGAATGGGATTGAAGAAAGAAAACAGAAGAAGAGGTGTCCCACGAAAGAGAGAGAGATGTAGACAATTTATTGTTTTTTATTATCATAAAATGTCATCAATGCCATCATCATCATCTTCTTCTTCTTCTTTGTTGTCATCGTCATGATCCATGCTGCCACGCTGTAGTGGTGTATATACTTGATTTAATTACAATAATTGATTAACTGATGTCAAGTAATTATAATATATATATATATATATATATAATACATTCTCTACAACACCCATTTCCAACTCGCTGGATTTTAATTTTATTGCTACATATATATTTTTTTTAAAAAAACGAATTTCTTTTTAACGTTTCAGAAACGGGTATTGGCAGAAATCTTATCCGTTTAAACAATTGAAAAATTCGCAAGTGGGTTATTTATTATTGTATTGCTTCAGAGTTCATATGAAGGCCAAATTTTTTTGGTTCAAGTTTTTTAAGGTCAGTATACAATTTTCATTGAAATAGAATTTCGTTCAATTACAAACGGGTACATTTTGTTTGTACATATCGATTTAATGATATACTATAGTATATTTCTTTTTTCGTACAACGAACCATGAAACCTCTGCTTCAAGACATGATTAGCTTATATGTCAAACATTAATTTATTTATTATTCTCCTAATAGAGATTTTTCAAGTTGTGGGGTTCACGTCGACTCCCCCTCCATATGCACATGCATGTAGATGATGGTACAATCTTATGTTATTTATCATCGTCGTCATGAAAAGAACTTGACATGGACAAGGGACAGACAGCTGTCTTTTGTTCATATGTGTGTAGAAAACGTGCATCGTCACGTTCAGTACATTTCTCGGGGCCTAGCATTTAGGATAGCATCCTTTGTAAGATTATTTTAATTTTTTTTTAACAGATTATTATAACTGCAGTAAAAAATATACAAATAAAATGAAAAAAGGTAAGGATTTTTCTGGTCAATTTTCATTAGAAATAATTTCAATGACGATGAATAAGCAAACGAGTGTAGTGTGTGTCGTTGTTACCATCACGCTGATCCAAATGCCTTTGGCCCAAAAGAGTTGATGGGCTTTTTTTAAAATGTTATAATAATGGCCCAATGGGTAGCGGCTGCTAAGGCCCACTAGTGGGGTGTCTTAGGTTTGATGATTAGGACTTTTAGGTGATTGACTAGGACTTAGGGTCATCTAATCAGGGGTTGGTCGACTAGGATTGGCTTAGGTCTGATTAGGGTCGTGTGATGGTCTAGACGAGACTTTTGATTGTCTAACTAGGGCTGTTAGGGTCTAGATAGCACTTGGGTAGGTCTGATTAGGACTTTGTGAGGGACCGGGTAGAC